ACCCTCCTTATGGCATATTCTAAGGCAAAGTTGAAAAGGAGTGGCGATAAAGCATCTCGTTGTTTTAGACCATTCTGGAAAGGAAATTTATCAGACAAATGTTTACCTACACGGACTTTACTATACATTCCGTTTAAACACATTTTAATCAACCTAACTAGTTTCATGGGTATCCCAAACTCTATTAGAATATTGTACAATACTTCCCTCCTAACTGAATCATAGGCTTTTTTGAAGTCTATGAATAGCTGATGTACTGTCTCATCATACTCCCATTTTTTCTCCAATATCTGATGAATTGAAAAGATCTGATCTGTAGTTGATCTGTTATGTCGAAACCCACACTGATGATCCCCAATAATTTCTTCTATATATGGACTTAACCTTGAAAGAAGAATATTGGACAAAATTTTATATGAAGTTGATAGCAATTATATCCTCCGATAATTACTACAGTCAGTTTTATTACCCTTCTTGTGAACTGGTACAATAACAGACTCCTTCCACTGATCAGGCAATTTTTCCTTATGCCAAATAGAAGTAATTAGATTTCACCTCCTGCGTATTAAGTTCTGCCGGAATTTGATCACTACCTGGTGATTTATACCTTTTCAATTTTGCAATAGCACTTTCAACCTCAAAAGGTCTAGGATTAGGTATTAACAGCTCAGCTGTATAGATTTCTGTCTGCCTAACAACACTGACCCTATGTACATTCAATAACTGCAGCTGTTGAATTATTGGGTAGAAAATAAGTTAAATGGTACATAAAAGAAATATTGCAGGAAAAACCAATGGCCATGCCATAGTTGAGGCAGTTAGTCACCTGCTTCCTGCCACAGCAGTCTGAGTTTGACCCCAGTGTGGCCAAGTGGGATCTGTGGCAGACAAAGTGGCACTGGAGCAGGGTTTTCCCTAGCACTTCAGTTTCCCCAGCCTATTGTCATTTGAGCAATTGCTCCATATTCATTAATCATCTTATCATTGATGCTGTACATAGTCTTGATACTGAGTGTGCTGTTAAATAAAACAAAATACAGGACAAGCTAAAGAAAAAAATTTTGACAGGTCTCTGAAAATACGGGTGGCTCTACTTCAAATTCTGGGAACAAAACAGATTATGCAAGACAATGATGATGACGATGATGATGATACATGTCCAATGTCCAGTACAACATACCACACTGTTCTAACAACTAATGAACAGGTCTGGTATGACATGTAATTAATGCTTAGTAATGATATACAAGGCATGTTAATGAAGACCCAAACTTGTCTGGACTGGATCATAACATCTGTGCAACTGGATTAACATTCTTAAGCTTCAGAAAGCTGTAGCATACTGAAAGTGAAGTCATCACTCACTGTACATCTTAAGAAAATTACGCACAACACTGCTACAAGACAATCATAAAGGTAAATTTCTGCCAGTGCTTAATTAAGCACCATGGCAGAAAGATGCTTGGGGGCATGCAGGTAAGTTCCACACATTCCTAACTTTGACACCAGGTCCAAGTCTGTTGTCAGCTCAAGGCTTCACTTTAATCCTTGGGAAAGAGCCCCCAAGAGCCAGTTCGGACATTCTGAAGCACAGAAAAATCTCCTGCCCTTGTCTGGAATTGACCTGATTCCTCAGCCATCCACTGTGACCTAGTCACTATACTGACTGAGCTATTATAATCATGCACATATGTATGAACTGTTAAACATTCAATTCAACCAAAGCGAAACAAGTTCTGGTCGATAGAAGGGAATAATATAAAGTTAAAACTGAAATTCCAAATAAAATAACTTAATAAGCACGGCTTGTTAAAAATGTCTGATGAAAGGGGTTGCTCACGTCAATGACATTCTTTGAGTCATACGTGTCACCTGGGTAGTGCAAAATGAGCAACAAACCTGGCAAAGCTTCCCAAAAGAAAAGTGCAAACTTCTTCAAGATGCAACAAAGCAAGAACTTGAGTGCTCTCTATTGGGAAGCAAGAAGCAAAATGGGTTAAATCATCTCAAATGCAGCCATTGGAAACCCACCTACCAATGGCCCTATTCTGTTGCAGATGCTACTACACTATACACTAGAGGCCAGTGTTTTCTTGGTTGTTTGTAGTTATGCAGCTGATCAAGAAATTTGCTACTTTTGTGGAACCAGAATAATCATTACCATATTCACAGACTCCTACAATGAGACTATGTTCTGGACTAGTTAATGAATGGTGTTATGAGGAATCAACAGTTATTCACATGGCATCTCTCTTACAGAATGAAACTTCAAGAATCACTCATTCTCATAATGTGAATATTTATCCACCTATTAAATTTTAACACTTGCATGCCCCTATCCAAGGCAGGTCATTTATTGGCACTTTGTTCATACTACCATATCAGACAAATAACACATAGTAACATTTGTAGTCTTTCCTCTGTTCCTAGATTGTGCATGTGGCTACTTTTTGCAATTTTGAATGCATGTACAGCTAATTTATTTGCTGTGAAATCTTGCAGCCCACTAACATATTGTGAAAAATGACTGGGCCTATAGCTAGGCCAGAGATGGAAGTATTAAAAGAGTTTTTCAAGCCATTCTGTACAATCTACCCGAATACGCTTATCGCCATTCTCCGAACAACTTGGCAGCACAGTCAATATGCACTCAATCATCACATCACATTCAACTGGGCAGAATTCACGCATCGTGTCAGGTTCCATGCTCAAATTTCAGTCCATAAACTTGCTGCCTTATCTCAGAGTTTTATGGCTTTCCTCAGTCTCTCCAGGCCAGCATTGGGACAGTACATCAAAAGCCATGATCATTTCCACTTCATGACTTACACAATCATTCAATGATTCAACAGAACATAATCTATGCAGCTAAAAATTTTCATTAAATAATTCAATAAGCCAATCAATGCTTTACTCACTATGCTAAAAGGTAAGAATAATTACCCTTGTATGTAAGATTTATGGCATTAGGGTATATGACTGGGCACTGAGTTGAAGTACCAGACGTCCTAGATGCCAGCGAGTAATTAGTCCAGGCTATGCCTCCCCACCCCACCCACCACCCACATCACAGTATCTGCTTGATACCGGGTTGGATGTTTACCACAGGTGACCAGGACAGACAGGACAGAGAAAAATCGGTGCTGGGAATTAAGAGGTTGATGAAGGATCTGAGATTCTCACAGCAGTACTTACAAAGAGTACTATCTTCTGGAATATAACACACCACAGTCCACTGAAAGTCAACCAGTGTTTTGGAAGAACATGTTGCCTCCATCTTCAGGGTTGAAGAAGTCGAGCACGATACCAGTAGCTTGCTTGGTTTATTTGACCCTGGAGTTGTAGGCAATGTGTTCCTCTGAAAAGTTGGTTGACTTTCAATGGACTACACAGCATTATATCCCAGATAATGTACTCTTCAAATCTGACTGAGCTCTCAGCCAATGGGTTTCCTGTCTGAGTTATGTAATTCTAAAGGGGCAGAGGCTTTCTTCAAAAACTAACAGGAGCTCCATTAGCCAAGCACTTCTCCACCTCCTGCAGCTTCCTGTCATTCCATGCTGTGTCCACATGAACCTGCCACTGGTTTCTATCCTGCACTACATGAATCCAGTTGCCCACATCCTCATATCAATTTTACTCCATCTATCCATGTGAATTCTTCCCATCAGAATACCTGACTAAAATACTGCATGCCATTTCATATTTGTTATATGTAAGAACTCATAAACCTCTATACTAAAGCACAAAGCTGTACGTACATGTATTCAATGGTACCACAAAATGTGTGCGTCACAATGCCTTCCTGGATATGTTCTTTACACAAGCCAAAGTCCGTTAGTTTAACATGCCCTTGTGCATCCAACAGTATGTTTTCTGGCTTCAAATCCCTGCAACAGAAGCAGCGTATTTGCTGATATACAGTTTATCAGTTAAATCACATAACTTAAGTATTAACCTCCATTAACAGATATCTTGAACCATTACACCTCTTAACATATAACTAAGTAGTAGAAGTCCATGAAATATAACTACTTTAACAGGAGTAACTAATAGCTTTGCTGTCACATGTTTTACCCACTACTGGCTATCATCACACAGCACAGCCAACACAACAAAGCAACTACTCCATCTACTTCACTTCAAAACCTATCCCCCTACCCACGGAAAGTTCTAAATATATTTGGAGAGGAAGAGAAAGATAAAGCTATCCTTGGTAACAGGCCATGGAGGCTCATAGGGTTGAGATGTTGAGCCTCCCACATTTTCTAGACAACTGGCTCACACATGGCACTGAGGTTGTCACAATTACCCGCTGGTTGGCTGCCCTCAAACCACAGGAAGATTTGTTACTCATTCCTGTCAGAGGCTGAGTTGAACCCAGGGCTATGGTGCAGCTGGAAGGATTAGGTCAACTGAAAAATCCAATGACCTCATTGGGAATCGAACCTGTGAGCTTCCGGCTTGTAGCATAGTGCCTCAACCATGCTACCGTGTGCTCCTGAGGGGAAGCACAAACTGAACTAACAAAAAAAAGAAAAATTTGGAAACAATGGAAATGAACTGTACCCCTCCACTGGCATTCCATTATTGATTGAGGGGAGCATCAGATATAGGACAACAAAAATTACAATCTCACAATTCACAGGAAATGACTTGACAACCTAATCCTACAAAGTTCATGATGATAATGATGACGGCAGTAGTGGTGGTGGTGCTGACAAAGTGCATGCCGCTACATACGACTAATGCTAGTTTTATGTAGTGAACAAGTGAAGAAATGGCCAGAAAATCGCGAACTATTTTGTGCTTAACTACAATGAAAGTAGAAATCCTGAAGAAAATAAGTTGGAATGCGAATGAAACTGTTGAAGCTACCACCTTTTCCTGACCTTCATATTCTACAGAATGGATCTCACTGCAATAAATTATACAGGTAAGACAAGTATTTATTAATTTTCCTCATGTAGGACTAATCATCATCTCACACTGAAGATAAGATCAGAGATATTTGTTTCAAATCATAGTAGTATATCAGTCATGTGCTAAATTTGTACACAGTGAACCTGCATTATCCTGCTGTATGCTGGAAATGTTGTCATGAGACCAAATAACTCAATGGAGCTGAGTCCCTCTTGAGATGACAGCTGTCCGTCAGCTAATTTCCCAACATTACCACCTTCACAAGAGTCTGCCACCGGTCTTGATCCAGTCTATACCACCCCACCCTATCTCTCTAAGATACATTTTAATATTATCACCTTCTACATCTAGGTCTTCCTAGTGGTCTCTTTCCTTCTGGCTTTCCCACCAAAATCCTATATGCATTTCTTCTCTTCTCATACGTGCTACATGCCCTGCATATCTCATTATCCTCGACTTGATCATTCTAATTATACTAAATAAGATCTAAAAGTTTGTGATGATGGCACATTAGTACACATTATGTTTTTGAACATTATCTATCTTCTTGACTTTATCTACAAACCATCCTGTTTATTTTTCAGAATCCAGTCTCCGAAACGTTGTTCTGAAAAATAAACAAGACGGTTTTTAGATAAAGACAAGATGATAGATAATGTTCAAAAATATAATATTTTTACTAATTATACTTGGCAAAGAGCACAGGTATGAAGTTTCCCAATATGCAGTTTTCTCCAGCCTCCTGTCACCTCCTTCCTTTTCAGTCCAAATATTCCCGTCAACACCCCATACTCAAATACCCTCAGTCTACGTTCCTTCCTTTAGGTCACAGACCAAGTTTCACACCCATACAGAACCACAGGCAAAATTAGAGTTCTGTATAATTTAATTTTTATAACTCTACACAGCAAACAAGAAGACAAAAGGTTCTGAACTGAATGGTAGCAAGCATTATCCAAATTTAATGTGCTCCTAATTATTTAATGAAGCAAATTTTGATTTGCTACTTCCGTTCCCTAACACATGAAATTGCATTGGTGATAAAGGATCTTCTTGTTTTAGATTATCTGGAATAAGAAACATATCAGACAAACATTTACCTATAGAGACTTTATTATATGTTTCATTCAAGCACATTTAATCAGCCAAACTACATTCACAGTTACCCCAAGCTCTGTGAGAACACTGTACAATACTTCCTCCTACATGAATCACAGGCTTTCTTGAAGNAAAAAATGCAACATTTTAACTCGGTTTTTGGTAGATTTTTACGTGACTAACATAAGGCTACAGTGGAAGTGCCCATTTTGGTTACAACGACATTCGTTTATAACGACACTATTTTTAGGTCCCTTTGATGACGTTATAACCAAGTTCTACTGTATATCAATAGCTGCTGTATTGCCTCATTATACTCCAATTTCTTCTCCAGTATCTGACTAATGCAAAATATCTGATCAGTAGTCGATATGTTACATCGAGACCCATGATCAAATCCCAAATAATTTCACCTATATGTGGACTTAATCTTGAGAGGATACTGAATAAAATTTTGCATGAAGCTGATAATTGTGATATCCCACTGTAACTATGGCAGTCATCAAGAGATCAACAGACTATCATTAGCAGTGGATAAGCCAAAGAACAAGCATCACATGGAAATGTGGCAAAAATTATAGTGCCCCTGTTATCACACCACAATGGCTGGTTATGTTGGATGCATGTAAATCCAGTACTTCAAAATAGTTTTTCTGTTAGCTGTGTTGAAATGCTGAATTTTCTCGGCATTTGTTTATCTACTTGTATCAGAATCTTCAGAAAGATAAAGTGTTTGAAATTCTAATCATCTCTTCAGTTGCTTGTGATAAATAAAGATTAATATTAAGGATAAGAGGATGAGAATGACACCATTCAAATGTTAAAGAACTACTGAAAATAGGCTCTCATAATGTACATTTGAATACACAAAATGATTATTAATTTACAATTCAAAATATCTGTACAAGTCCAAGTGTCCATATGTACATCTGTTTTCGCACAACTTCGGAACGGTTACATGACAGCAACAAAATTTTTATGTCAAAAGAAATGTAAAGTCTTCAAAATTTATAACTGCTCTCTTTGTGCATATCACAGATTAAAGTTTATTTTATGTGGAAAAAGAGGGTCACCTCAGGATACCAGGAGTTGATGCTCCCGTCAAGCATGAACTATATGTAAGAAGTGCACAGTGTGAGAACAGAGGGAGGAGCAGAAACATTCAATTATCTGTATTCCAATAAACAATGCTACATCAGCTGTGAGGTTACACAGTAATGGAACAGCAAAACTACAGCGGTAGCACTCTGGCAGAACCCCAGATGAGATGACTACATATTTCACATTGCACTGAAATGTTCATTCATCATTCATCAGTAATCCATCAGACGACAGGTCCACAGTCTTCCAAAACAGTTCCTCCACTTAATGCGATCACAAGCTTCTTCCTTCAAATAAAAATACCATCTTCTGCCCCCAAGGTCATCCAGCATCTTCTTATGTCTTCTTCCTTGTCTTCTGGTCACTTCTATCTGCCCCTCCAGTTTGTTTTGTCTCCAGAGGAAACATCTCGGGGTACATGGTATCTCTGTTTTTGGAAAGAGACTATCCAGGAAAAGTGATAATGTGGTAGTTTTTCCATTTGCTTTCCACATTGCAGTACAACAGCCGTATGATACTCAAAATCAAGATTCATTCATTTAATGTGTGCAACAGTGTTTATACATTTAGAAATAAACATACAGCAAAGCCTTGCTGATCCAGAGTAATTGGTGGGGAGGTCATCCATATTAGTGAAGCAAAATGCAGCCCTTTAAAAAACTTAGGAAACAAATAAATGGAAAATTTGATGATATAAGTAGTGCTGATAAAAATAAACAACATATCACTGTAAAGCCTTTATTTAAAAGCTATAAAAAGGCAATACATTTATTCTCTGTTAGAAGACTCAGAAGTTGTACTAATGTAATAATGCAGATTTTAAGAAACTGTGAGGTTTTGTCTCAACAGACAAGAGACCGATCTGCCTTCCTAAATGCCATGTGTCTTTTAAAGTATATAATCAACTGTGAACAGCATTTTTCATATTCCAATTCAGATTACTGGATCAGTTTACTTTCTTTCAGTAGTGAGCAAATTTTCCATTGAAAATGTATTAAAGTGGCAGGTTTCTGACATTTCATTCTTTTCTGTGAACTTGTTGAAGAAAGACCTGACATTGCACATGAAACATGAATTGCCTATAGGATGTGATTACACAATCTTTATCTAAGATATTAATAGTTTTAAATAAACACTTGTGTGATTGGATGACTGAAGGTCAAAGGTTATACTCACTTCTTGTATCAATTAATTGGATTCTATTTTCCGCATTTCTATACAGACTTCTACATAAATGTGGGGCACGCGGTAGCATAGTGGTTGAGGGGCTATGCTACAAGCCGGAAGGTTGTGGGTTCAAGTCCCGATGAGGTCATTGGATTTTTTCAGTTAACCTAATCCTTCCAGCTGCACTAGGCCCTGGGGTTTACTCAGCCTCTAAAAGAAATGAGTACCAGGAATTAATTAAAAATAAATTTCCTGGGGAGTACAGCGCGGCCGGCGCTTAAGGCTGACAACCTTAGCGCCATCTTTGAGCCGATTGTCTAGATAGTGTGGGACCCTCAATGTCTCACAACCCTATGGGCCTTCACGGCCTGTTACAGGGATAGCTTTACTTTACTTCTACATAAATGTACTGAACATACAGATACAGGTATTTGAAATATACACTAAGGACACAATTACTCTCCTACTTACCTATAAATAATTCCTTGTATATGTAAATGTTCAAGTGCTAGTATTATTTCTGATAGGTAGAAGCTGGAACAAAACAAAATAACAGGAGTCACATCTCCATTCAAGTGATTTAAACCTAAAGCCACTAGGATTAATCTCATAGCATCACAGTCCACATGAACCAACGAGTTCATGGGTGCACGGACAAATGGATGAATACAAGAATGGGTGAGTGGATGAATGATGTGAGAGATGCTGCACAACCGGGTCAATGATTGGTTGAATACATAACTGGTGTGTGGAAGAATGAATTATCTGCAAAACTCTGATGAATATGTACATAAATTTGGTCCTCTCTACACACAAGTGCTCGACTCACAAACACCCATCAACCATACAAACAGCATACAAATTAATTAAAATGGTAAATGCACTGAGGCTCATCCACCAATATGATTTGAGTGTGAGGGCGGAGGCATGAAGCACACTGATATTGTCTTGACTTATGAACAGGGCTTTGGAACATAACCTGTTCATACGTCAAGGATTAAGTGTACATTTTCCAACATCTTGCAATGTGACGCATTTAACACCAATGCTAAAGCAACCCCGCATGGCATCAAGTTATCTAATTCTTTTAATACAAAAATTAAAAACTGTCTTAAATACAATTATTCATAAAGGTACACCCTGATTATGTGGACTTAATAATAATTAAGTGTGAATTACATATGCTTAGTCATATCAGTTTGAGCAACAAATGTTCATCACTTAAGTCACAGATTGCACCAAACGAGTGCCTTACGAACAGGATACTTGTGCAGACCTTCAAGTGGACGCCCATGTCATGATTTATTTCAGTGGGTTGTTTTACATCACTGTTTCTCAACTATACAGCATCAAATGAGAGGATGTCTAACAGAGGCTGGTGGGAGGGACTGAGGAAAACCACAAACACCCCAGCTGGGACAGTATAATGATTAGGCCATTACTGCTTTTTTCCAAATCTTCTCTAATTTATCATTCATGCATCATCCTATCATTCAACACTATACAGTCTCAATACTGACAGTGATGCTAAGCAAACAACAAAAAATAGTTAACACTGTGACAGTATGAAACTTAGAGCTACATTTGACAAATTTATTTTATTGGACACTGTCTACAATGACAAACAACATACCTATGGATGCTGTTCAAATGAAAACTGCCTGAGCCACTGTCAATACCACAGGTCACAGGTAATCTCATGGTTGTGTGCATGATACAGCAACAGCCAAACAGGAGCTGCACAACATATCTAATATGACTCACAATGCCCATGGGGCCTCTGCTTCTTTACCCAGAACAATCCCTAAATGGATTTCCTTTTTTCTCTGTGACTTACTTAATGATACAGTTATCACAGACTTTATGGGGTTGAAAGTTAGATTGATTAATGAATGATATGGAAGTTGTTATGGCCTTTATCTCAGCACCATCCTGGCATTCACGTGGAAAGACTGAGCTGGTGTCGTTGCATGTCCAAAACACACAAGTTAGAAGCATTACTGTCTGAGCTAACCTGCTCAATCCAAACAGATTTCATTTAAACAAGACACGCACAATTCCCAGTATGTCTCCATCACACCCTGCATACTGGAAACTCATGATAATGGATGTTTGTAAATACAAAGACTACTTGTTTCAAGAAACAAAAATCAGAAAAATCTTTAAATTTTGTTGTTGTATGTGTGGACTGAAGTTCAAGTCAGTTTATTTCATCTATAAGAAAACAATGCAACCATGACAGCAAGGAGTATATTTCAATAGTAATCATTGTACTGGAACACTTTCTGAAGATCACAGAATTGAAGCGTTACGCCAAGAACCTACAAGACAAGTAACCACTACAAATAACAGAAAATTGTCCATAAAATTGCAGTGCAGGTTTTCTAGATGGGCATGTCAATGATGTATAATTATGAACTGACTGTTAAGTTCTTCGCAGAACTTATTTAGACAAATTTTTGTTTGGTGGGGTTATAAGATTCTATAAAATACCACAAAGGTTGTCTGCAGTAGGAAGTAAATACTGCACTACATGACAACACCAACTCAGTTTGTGAACCATAAACTGAAGAAATACTGATCTGAAAAATTTGATGCCAATGCCATTTCTCTTATCATTTGACATTCTTAACCCCATTTACAAAATATTCCACAAATGGAAGACAATTTACAGGTTTTTACAACCTAAAATTTTTCAATTTCTTGAGTATGCGTGATGTCATGTGGCTAATTAAGAATGCAGCTCTTACTATTTTATCTGTAATACATATATCAAGTTCTTTGTGCTATTTCAAAACAAAAGTCCATTCTTCCATGACAAAGACCTTCAAGCAGACAGTCTAGGTGTTAGTAACATGACAAAGAACGTATACATCAATGATGTCTAAGTCTTGGCACTCCAGCTTTCACCCGGGTTCATATCCTGGTCTGGGGACACGCCATCAAGACTGAAGTACCTTTACTTCCCTCTAAATAATTTCCAATTCATAGATCTCATTCATCCTTCAATCTGACACCACACAATCTATAAGCTGTAGAATGGAGCAGATTCTTGCTTTATTTTTGTAGTTTGTTTTACAACACTTTCAGTATTGCAAACTATACTGCGTGAAATGGTAGTATGACACGTGAATTGGAAAGAATCTGGAAGGATCATGGAATACTATAGGACGCTACACCCATATTTGCCAGGATACCACGAAAATCATTTTGGGATAACCAGTGTTCCTATCAAGACTCAAACTGAGCACCTCTTGAGTGTGGGTCTACAGAATTATCGACAACTCCATCCAGGTCAGTGAGTCTTGCCTGAGAAGTTGACAGTTACTCAGATGACTGATAAAGNTACAAAGTATTTTTTGTTCAGTCAATTCAACAGGTGCATTCCTTGATATACTATAACAGGAACAGCCAAATTTACTGAACATAAGCGGGCATATAGTCATCAATTGGAGGGCATGAGTACCTTAGGTACATGTATTCCATGGAACATTATTATTTATGATTTTACTAAAAAGAAACTGACCAATATTTTTCTTCCATATTCTGCACTAACAGTTCAAAACAGCCACATAAGGCTCATGAGCCATGGTTGGAGATACCTCCACTATACTAACTGGTTACATGTGTCAATGCCAAATGCTTTATCCCCAGACTCATCCATCTAAGTATAAATACATAACACACAGTACAGTGAAGGAGCATATGACATTTATATATCTTCACATATTCACCACATCATGAATTTGGTACTATTCCATCACATAAACCAACCATTTACTAAAATTTGTGTACAATATTATGAAACTCAATTCTCCTCAAGATATTTTATATAAACTGACAGAAAACAACAATTCACAATCAAAACTTCACTTCTAACTCTTACCTAATACAATACTGTGAACATTATGTAGCTAGAAATAAAACACCAGGGAGTTCTTGATGGTAAAGGTGAAGTTGTCCCTGTGCTTAATTAATTAAGCACTGTGCCATGAAGGAGTATGGGGGGGTGGATGTTTAAAACACCAGGGAGTTCTTGATGGTAAAGGTGAAGTTGTCCCTGTGCTTAATTAATTAAGCACTGTGCCATGAAGGAGTATGGGGGGGTGGATGTTTAAAACACCAGGGAGTTCTTGATGGTAAAGGTGAAGTTGTCCCTGTGCTTAATTAATTAAGCACTGTGCCATGAAGGAGTATGGGGGGGTGGATGTTTAAAACACCAGGGAGTTCTTGATGGTAAAGGTGAAGTTGTCCCTGTGCTTAATTAATTAAGCACTGTGCCATGAAGGAGTATGGGGGGGTGGATGTTTAAAACACCAGGGAGTTCTTGATGGTAAAGGTGAAGTTGTCCCTGTGCTTAATTAATTAAGCACTGTGCCATGAAGGAGTATGGGGGGGGTGGATGTAAAGATCCACATTTTCTTGAACTCAGCACTAGCTGGAGGTGAGTGAGAGTTCAGTGTTACTACATTCTACATAAATTTAAGTAAACAGATGGCTTGCGGTATGAATGAAGCTGAGAGGAGATGCTGTCTGATATATACATCTCACAGTGGGAGTAAGGTG